TCATTGTGGGAAAATTCTACTACCAGTCCTTCATCACCTTACATGAAATAGGGTGAATACATCTCATTATGCCATTCTGTCGTTCCCCTTTCACTCACATAAACCCCTATTTCAACCTTTCTCGTTTTAGGTGTCCTGTATGCAATTCATCAACATTGTTGTTCATTCAACTGAGAACATAAACCTTCGTGTCTATCTCCAATATGGCTTCCATTTGCTGGGCTTGGACGATTTTCTCAAGGTAACTTCAGGATTTTCTACCTAATCCATTTTCTCTTGAAGCCTGTATCCTTGATCTTATCAGTTCTTTTATCACGATGTTCCCCATTCTTTGTTTATTTATATGCTCAAATTTCTATTTGCTATTTTTGCACATCATTCATCGTTAAGATATCCACTCGGTGAGTCTTTGTTTGCAGTATCACAATGAGACGAGAGTTTCAAGCTCTTTTTATTTGTTTGCCCTAATGAATGTTCATTCAATCCATGTTCATATCGGTTTGCGCGTGCATACATTTATTAAATAAAAAATTATATTATTCTTAGCCGGTTCCTTATATTGAATGAGACTATGGTATGACGAATCTAGTCGTCTTACGGACTGATTTGATCTCTTAAATCGTGTATCAGTGGAAGCAATTGTTGAATAAAACCTCACACCGAGTAGACTATTGCGTCTATCACAGGCGATGAACCCGAACACATCTCTCTCTGTCTACCTCGCTTACACTTTCACATTTTTCGCCTAATAATCTTGATAAACCTGGCTGGCCGTCTTCAAAACAAAATACGCCGCGTAAAATGCATTTTTGCCCCATATCTCTATAACTCTTCAACCACAAAAGTATTTTGCTTTGAATACCTTCATTGGCTCCATAGGACCTTCCATGTTTGCACACGAAGACTTGTCTCTTCCCAGGCTGAATACCATAGGTTTTGATTATATTTAGTACCAGAAAATGGTATAATCTGTAATGGCCTTTGTGTGTCAACAAAAACCAAGTTTGTGTGCTATCAGATGTATTTTGTGTTGAAATTCTTGTAAACATTTTTGAATTTCAAAATAGTTCAAACCTTATCTTTAACTCGCCAGGACCCATATTGAGATGTGAAAACTTGAGTGGGGAGGCAATATTAGCTAATTCCGTGAAATCGAAAACTAAATTTGTTTCTCAACTGACGTGTACACGATTCGAGTCAGCATCAGTCGTGTATGTGGTCCATTCTGGACCGGAAGAGCCTTTTATTATGTATTTCGCAATTATTCCTGAGTAGATTGGCCACCACTCTACAGCACCATACGAAAAAGAGGTGTCTTTTCAGTATTCACGTTTCTAATAGGCACGCTAGAACGGGAAGTAGCAACTTTATGCTTTCAATCTTAAACCATTAATATATACTTACATTCATACTAGGTACTAGTAATTAGAACTCTTATTCATCAATGTGTACACTTACTGCCGTGATTCTCTTTTTTATTTCTTTTATATGACCATTTAGATAACCGCTTATGGCCCCATTACTATCATCTTTTTTTTAGTTTTTATCTCTCCCGTCATGACTATTATGTACTCTTATTATTTGTTATTCTTTTTTATTAATGCTTATTTAGTCTCTCTTCTCACTTGCCTTCATATGCTATCCCTTGTTTTCTCCTTCGGGCTACTAGTTTAGGAATAGTTGACTAGTACATGTCTGATATTCTAATGCCTCATTTTCTCTTTTAATCTCTGTCTTTCTTCTAATGTCTCTTGGCCTGTATTTGCCTAGTGTCTGCAAGCCAGACCCGGTGATCGTTTGAATAGACATATTGAAGCGTATTTGGCAAATCGGGTCGACTGCGGCGTGCTTTTGGACGATGCTGAAGCTAAGGAGGCGGCTCAATCTGAGCGTGACCGACTCGTGGCGGATTTGGCTGAACTCAGGAGAACCAGTGAAGAAAGAATTACACAAGTAAAGGTAGCACTTTGGTCTTCCGACAGTTTCTGATGCTATCATTAAATGTTTGATTGATTTCTGACCTATTTTGAGGAGCTGCCAGTTTTTCTATTATCCTTCGTTTTTATGTAGGTTTTAGAGACCACCAGTGGATCATATATATTAGATGTATTCATCCTATTTCGTTTAAGGAGGTGAAATCATGATGGTTGAATTTTCACACGATCATGTGAATAGGCACTATATTTCTAGTGAACTTCACATAGCCTTGATTCCCAAAGGGTATTCTTATCAAGGCAGGAACGGACTGCAGTTTCGACCTCACCTAGGTCTCATCAGCACTTTCAGTGGGACTCGAACTCGGATTGTGGTAGTACAGCGCATAATCTGGACACTTTAATAACCACGCCACACTGCCACAAATGAGGGCCCTTGGGTCACAGGACAGACGAAAATGTCAAGGAAGGCCAGGCCTCTTCTCATACCACATTCCATGGTGATATTACGGATGAAGCAAAGTTCTATTTGCTATAGCAATAGACTACATTAATTGTTTTTCGCTTATTCGTAGGTTTTCAAGATTACCAGTAGACCATATACATGAGATTACTTATAAACTAAAATTAAGTAATCTAGTTGAATGTTATAGTGAATACAACTTTGCTTTATCGAAAATTCAAACAAAGAATGTGATATGGGAAAATGCATGGCTTTCCTTACAATTCACATTTGCTCTGTGACCCAAGGGCACTCGTGGCAGTGCGGCATAATGTTCAACGTGTCGAGATTATATGCTGCATTACCAGAGTTCGAGTCCCGCTGGTGAAGCTAATGAGACTTAGGCAAAGTTGATACTACAGTCCACTTTTGCCTGAATGATAATACCTTTTGGGATTCAAGGGTATGTGAAATGCAATGGAGTTGACTTGGAAAAATTCAACTACCAGTGCTTCGTCACCTTTAACGGAATAGGATAAATACATCTCATAGTTACTGTTTGTTTTCCATATGTTCGATGGCTTATTATATTTCCTTTTCACCAGTGTTTTTTATCGTTTCCCTCAACTAGTCGGTTATCATGCCACATATTTCCACCTACTTAACCCTATTCAAATGCATATTTCCGTTGCACTTCGTTATTTTATCATAATTAAACTGCTAATTTGGGGGCTGTGGTGATTTTATTGTTTTCTTATTCAGTATCCTAGTCGATGTAGCCAGGTACTCATTATTTAAATCTTTCACAGGGCGTTCAATGCTATTTTTAGGGCGGAATATTCCCGCAAGCCTGCTGACGTATGTGTTTAATTTTGGACACTTCAGGCTCCATGTCTTGTGCGAATCCTCTTGCTCAAAGTTGACGAGAGGTGAACTTATATTAACCCAGAGTCCTGTCTGACAGCACGATAAAGCCGAACAATTTTTCCTTCTTTTCTCCACTTTTTTGGGAGTCTGAGCACTACACTGGACTCGTACCTGGGACCCCATAGTTAGTGATTTGGTTCTGACACCTGTCCATGTGTTCACTTCGATGTTTATAAGGCACATTTTTATGTGCTGCGTTGATTTTAACTTTTTATGAAAGTATGCGATGAATTGATTCGAAGGTCAATTTCACCAGAGGACCACGGCGGATTCTCTCTGGTCTGCTGTTTTATTTTCCTGTAGTCTTCATGTTTACGCACTTCTCGGGAAAATCATCTCCGATTCCTGTTAAAACGCTTTATCCTTTTTTATATGACACACATCTTTAGGGCTGGTAAGCATTCAAGCTAACAAATAGAGAGAACTCGACTGGCCCATGTCAATTTTGGGGGTGTATGATGTGATTTATTGGTGCTTATTTTAATCTACGCATATTTATTTTTTGTTTTATCTTGTGCGTATACATAAACAGGCAGAATCCCAAGTGACCTTTTGTGTAGTTAAAACGAAGCGTAACGCCATCCTTGGTCAAGGTTAATGGGAATCAACTCACTAGGATTGCGTAGAAATGGACATTGGTCTCGTTTAGTTGCTAAGGCCTATGTGCGAAGTAAGGTGTACAGAGTGTGATTAGACTTAAAACCTCATCAGGCATACACACGCTCAAATATGCCTTAATGCACTCGTACAGATTGATATGACCACCAATTAACAAATTCATTCTTTATCTCAAGTATATTATTACTATTAATATTATGTGTGTAAGTCTATATGCCGTTATAAGAATATTTTCTCACTCTGTTGATGTTCGCCAGTTTTTGCTCTTATCGGGAGTTAAGGCAGCATTAACATCGTTGGAAATTCAAGCAGAATACCTTTCATAAATGACTTACATACAATACAATTCAGCCCAACAATGGTATATCAGGAAATTCATTAAAACTAAACGAAACTGAATGATTGTTTTAAGAAAAATTATTTCCACTTGAATTTTAAACATTTGTATCTTACATTATATAGCGCCTAGGTGGTGTCTATTTTTGTACGTATTCATTTTCTAATTTTTACTAAGGAACTCGATCAGGAATCGGGAGGTGAACTAAGAGTCTGAAGTGATTTCTCAGCCGAGCCAAGTCGTAAGGCCAAGGAAGGCCTGTTCAAATATTTGCACCAAATATGAGTGCTAGTTTGGAGAACCGATAGTAATAATTGTCATGGCTAGACTGATTTACAAGCAGAAGGCGTTTGCCAATTTGGGGGACACTTCGTCGAATTAAGTCTCTGCTAATGATTCTGCCGAGAGGATTGAAACAAGGCGAAACGATGTCACCCTTAAGATTTGTGTTACCGACTGGGAGATAAAGATAGCCCATTCAATTCTCCAAGGAACTGTAAGAGCACGAACGATTTGCGACTTTCCACAGATGCACAAAGCGCGAGTGACTTTAGGACTATTTATTAATGGAGACAATTGATGAAGTTGGCCGAACAATAGACATATTCATTTGAAAATTCGTACCATTTTTAAAAATGTTTTGATCAGAGAAGTGTTTTGCTCGAAAATATGATACCAATGCATACGAACATTTCAGTTATGGGTATCGTTATCGTTTCCCTCATTTAGTCGGTTATCATGTCACATATTTCCGTCGCACTTTGTCATTTTATCATAATTAAGCTGCTAATTTGGGGCCTGTGGCGATTTTATTGTTCTCTGGTTGATGCTATTTTTCGGACGGAATATTCCCACAAGCCTACTATTCAAGCTCTAGATCTCGCTCTGGATTGTGACTGTTGAGAGTGCGTGCGTGGTAGCTCCTAGCGAAATCGCCCCAACTCTGTCTCCCCACTTAGCCCGGCACATCTCCCACACCTCGTGATGTAGCCCCAGCACTCATCCTCAATTCCGACAACGAAGACCCGCCTACCATTATGTGGGTTCGTGAGAACGTGATTAGACTCAGCGCTGGTTTCCCATCCTCGACATAGTGACTTCTGCGAATTCGCCAATCCCCTGTTCCGACCTTTAGCTTGTCTCTTCGACGGCCTGATTGGATTGGTCTAAGCCATTGCGACCGCTGGACTCTAAAGTGCATTCACATGATCCTTCCCGTCTTTATGCTATCACGTGCACACAAACCTCACTGAGGGTGACTACAAACAGCGACTCTCATACCTGCTGTCCTCAGTATCTGTCTTCTCTCGCGGATCCCTCTTCAATTTCAACCCAACCTAACTGTCTGCCTCTTCTGTTTTGAGTCCGTCATGCATGCTTGGCTTGGTCGTGGGTTAGGGTAACATCTTCCTGATTAAACCTGCCTATCTGAGACGCGATAGCGTTATACGCCAATAGTTCTAAAGGATGGCATGATGGAATTTTTCTCCTAATATCACATCCAGACGAGCAGTAAATATGAGTCACAATTTGTTGTCAGCCCGAGTCGGGCTATCGTATACATTTGCGACAGGTCTTGTGACAAAATTCTCGTATTCTGAGATGTAGTAGTCTTGATATTCTACTTACATACGAAAAACTCTCGTATACTCGAGACACGTCGACACAGTAGGGACAAAGAGTTAGCCGTTGAATGAGGAATGGAAGACTAAGGGAGACGGTGACCACGATCTGGCAGGCTAATTGCGATGTCGAGTCGACCTGACCAATTAATTAAGAAGTGAAGCACTAGACCATTAGACATCTACCGGCGTCGGACCGTAGACTTACTACATTCCTAGACATTTCATCGGCTGAAAGGGATTTGTGTATTGGCCATAGCAAAAACCGGGGGATTTCTTTGTAGTTGTGATTGCTGAATTATGCAACCACCTTGAATCCATGCGGGGCTTTTATCTGTACCACTTCGGCAACCATTATTTTGCAACATTTTTTCTTCACCAAAACCCTAAACCGAAAGATTTGGCCCTCTGCTATAGCTCTATCTTGTCCACTAAACAATGGACTGTACAACCCCAACATGCGTAAACATAAGAGAAGTGACTGCATATGTGTGACGTCTACGGTGACGACAGAACCATGTTCTTATCAAAATCATTTGCATTTATCACCTTAACTATTCACATGCATACTTGAGGCCGTTTAGCGTGTGTATGTGTTGTATACATGCAAGACTGAAGCAAGATAAAATAAGGTTCCCAGGTTGGTTTAGAGGACAGAATAATTTTCAATTTATAGAAGTGGCTTGGTCTCGTTTTCGCAACTTGGATCTGCTTCCAGGGTAATATCGGTGTCCGGAGCCCTCTGCTATCGTAGCCATGATAATTTCTACCGTCGTACCATGAACTCGGTACATTACGAGACGTTTCACCCGTGAGCCACACTACAACTTGTCAAAGTGACACACAAAGTACGTCCCTTGGCCAGTTGTGTGATAGGCGGTTTTGGTATCTCTTCTGCCCCAGTATATTTACCTGTCACATCCCCTATCGCTCGCTTCGTTATCACAAATTCTGATTGGCTCACTTTCACCCACTTGGAATGTGTGCCCCTTGAAGGTATTTCTTGAGACCTATTCGCACTCCCTGCTGGTCCCCATTCATACCCTATCAGAGTCTCCCTCTTGTCTCCCCGGTTCAGAGATTTTCTTCGATCACTGCAACCATATCTG